CTCAACCAAGCGTTTGTTTTACCTGGTAATGAGTAGAATCGGAATCAGAAGGGGTTATTGCCATATGTTCGAGAAATCACAACATTAGGAAATTGCTGCGGTACTTCGTGCAGAAAAGAAAGATAAAAATAAGAGATCAGCAAATATAGGAAGTAAGAATATAATCATGATTAAATAAAATATAAAATAGCGATAATTTGAGAAACGGCTATTATACAAGACAAGGAATGCACAATATATCGGCATCAAAATCCTTATTTGACTGCGTTAGTGATTTATTACGATATCGATGCAACGAGTAAAACTGGGTCAACATTAACAACCGATATTTATTTCCATCTAGTAGCCATTTATGGAGGTGTCATTCTTTGTTAATGCGATAGATGGTTAACATCTCAGAAGTGTTTATGTGTGTGAGTGTGTACAAGTATATGCACTCAACTAAAGGATTATTAGGAGCACCATACTAATACGGTGTTTGACCCCCTTTCGCCTTCAGAACTGCATTAATTCTACGTGGCGTTGATTCAACAAGGTGCTGAAAGCGTTCTTTAGAAATGTCGGCCCACATTGACAGGATGGCATCCCTCTGGAGATGTGTGGTATGTACATCCAGGGCACGAAGCTCCCGTTCCACCACATCCCAAAGATGCTCCATCGGGTTGAGATCTGGTGACAGTGGGGGTCGTTGTAGTAGTGAACTCATCGTCATGTTCAAGAAACCAGTTTGAAATGATTGGAGCTTTATGACACGGTGCATTATCCTGCTGGAAGTAGCCATCAGAGGATGGGTACATGGTGGTCATGAAGGGATGGACATGGTCAGAAACAATGACCCGTGGCATTGAAACGACGCCCAGTTGGCACTAAGGGGCCTAAAGTGTACCAAGAAAACATCCCCCACACCATGACACCACCACCAGCAGCCTGCACAGTGGTAACAAGGCATGATGGATCCATTTTCTCATTCTGTTTACGCCAAATTCTGACTCTGTCTCAACAGAAATAGAGACTCATCAGACCAGGCAACATTTTTCCAGTCTTCAACTGTTGAATTTTGGTGAGCTGGTGCCAATCGTAGCTTCTTTGATGAGTGGTACCCGGTGGGGTCTTCTGCTGTTGTAGCCCCTCCGCCTAAAGGTTGTGCGAGTTGTGGCTTCACAAATGCTTTGCTGCATTCCTCGGTTGTAACGAGTGGTTATTTCAGTCAAAGTTGCTCTTCTATCAGCTTGAATCAGTTGGCCCATTCTCCTCTGACCTCTAGCATCAACAAGGCATTTTAGCCCACAGGACTGCCGCATACTGGATGTTTTTCCCTTTTCACACCATTCTTTGTAAACCCTAGAAATGGTTGTGGGTGAAAATCCCAGTAACTGAACAGACAGGCCCGTCTGGCACCAACAACTGTGCCATGCTCAGAATGGCTTAAATCACCTTTCTTTCCTGTTCTGACATTCAGTTTGGAGTTCAGGAGATCGTCTTGCCCAGGACCACACCCCTAAATGCATTGAAGCAACTGCCTTGTGATTGGTTGATTACATAATTGCATTAAGGAGAAGTTGAACAGGTGTTCCTAATAATCCTTTAGGTGAGTGTAAGATTGTATTTGTAATTATATATATACAATTATATCTAATATAATATTGTTGAATTATGACCTTTGACCTTTTCCAAGCAGACCCTGTGGTGTTTGGATGTCCTGGTTTATTTTGTGCTCTGATTTCTTTGAAACAGGACATGATGTGTTGCCTTTTGAGATATTTTAGCCTACTTCATGTTGTCACACAGGAAGTGATTTCTTAATTCTAGAAATCTGATCAGGTCTGGGTGGAGCTGAATTTAAATTTATAAATAAAGTAATTTATGGCCTCCTACCAGAGGAGCTGGTGGAGGTGGCCGGGCAGAGGACGGTCTGGAACTCCCTAGTTGGGATGCTGCCCCCATGACCCAGACTCGGATAGGCGGAGACGTAATTTATCATAATTTAGGATTTAACAAGGGATATCGGATGAGGTTGGTTTGGAAAGATTATTCCACAAAATCCTCATTTAAAAACTTGTATTTTGTATTTACTCTGGCAATATTTGTCTGGCACTGAAATTGGTTTGCTGATCTTCACCAACACAACCGCAAATTCTACAGATTCTCTCATCAAAAACCTCGTCAACCACATTTCCCAGTTTGAAACTGGATTTCTGTTAAAAATACCTACTTTCAAGCGGAGATCAGATCTATCTAACCTCAGAGCTACAAACAAAAAGACAGCTGTGCCTCTTTTCCTTCATCAGTATACAGCCATCTCTAGACAGATTTATACACGCCACAGTCACTGCAGGTGGAAATTATTGAGCGCTTTGTTGTTGTTCTTCAGCCCCGTTGGGACATAAAGATGCAGGGAAGTTTCTGCAAACTGCGCTCTGGCAGAATAATGCATGAGAACATGTTGTTCAGAGAGCAGTGGCATCAGTTAAACAAGACTGACATGAATCTTGTAAACCAAAGCCTGTGCTTTTAGTCATCTGATGTCTGAATATTCTGTATTTTATCAATTTAGAACCAACATGAAACGACGACCTGATCCAAACTGCGACCACTTCCTTTGTATCCCAACAAATTTCCTGCTACAGAGCGTCGCTGTCTCCCAGAAACATAGTGACACATGTGACACTCTCTTGCACTTGGTGACACATTTATTCATTACCACCAACCCGAGCACTGGGGCTTATTTTGTCAGCTCTGCCTGTTGTTATCGTCACTCACACAAATACTCCAAATCTGCAGCTGAAAATAGTTCCCTACTTTTTTCCCCAAAGCTGTTACATAACTTAAAAAAAATGCCTTTTTATTAAAAAGATATATATAATATATAAAAATATAATATATATTATATATATAATATATAAATATTATATATATATTATATAATATATATATATATATATATATTATATAAATATTATATATAACATATAAATATATACAATATTTATATATTATATATAAATATTGTATATATATTATATAATATGTATAATATATAAATATTATATATATAATTTATATATTATATATATATAATATATATTATATATATATATAAATATTATATATATATATAATATATATTATATATATAATATATATTATATATATATATAATATTTATATATATTATATATATATATAATATAAATATAATATATATAATATTTATATATTATATATATATAATATAAATATAATATATATAATATTTATATATTATATATCACGTGTAAGTGGCTTTGGACAAGTGTCTGCTAAATACATAAACATACATGTATGTATGTGTATGTGTGTGATTTATATGCTTTTCAATACAAGATGCACTTATTCTGGTTTTTTGTGCCGATACTGGTCGTTCTGACCCAACAATACAATTTTTTTCTGATTCCGCTTACCTCTGAGTGTTTATGTACGCATTATGCAAAACAAATAGTGATTAACTCTGAAAATTAAAATCCAGGAAGTAAAAACTTTACATGTTATTGCTGGAGTGAGGAAGGGGTTAGTAATAGTGAGTTTATAAGTTGCATGTTGTAGCTAAGGGCAAGTTCATGAACCAAACCCATCCATCCATTTTCGGCCACTTATCCAGGGTGGGGTCGCGGGGGCAGTAGCCAAAGCAGAGAGGCTCAGACTTCCCTCTCCACAGCCACCTTCACCAGCTCCTCTGGGGGAATCCCAAGGCGTTCCCTGATCAGCCGTCAGACATCGTCTGTCCAGCATGTCCTGGGTCTTTGTTTACGCCTTCTTCCGGTTGGACGTGCCCGAAAAACCTCACCAGACCAGATGCTTGAGCCACCTCACCTGGCTCCTCTTGATGTCGAGGCGCAGCAGGTCCACTCCGAGCTCCTCACAGATGACCGAGCTTCTCACCCCATCTCTAAGGGAGAGCCCAGCTACCCTGCAGAGAAAACTCATTTTGGCCGGTTACATCCGCAAAACTGCAGCTGCAAAACATGAATTACACTTGGGTGTTTTCTAATTTTTTTTCTGGTTTGTGTTGAATAAGATATCCTGCCAGGAGCTATCCCAGAAGTCCTCGACTGAAGGACATGAGAAGCTGTGCTAGTCTGGAGGTTCAAATGTGTGCAAAGTGCACCTGAAAAGTCCAACACCCTCTCATGAATTTAGAAGACCAGAAGTCAAATCTTGCCAAAGAAGATACGAGTAAAACAAACGCTGCTCCACTTTTATTTGTGATCCTAAAAACAAAAAGGTTGCTACGTTTGGTTGTTTCCACAAAAATATCTGGTAGTGCCACCAAGCAAAAGAAACGTGTAAATATCAGCTCTGTGATAATCTAATGCTCCGAGGATGAGGGAGACGGCGAGAGGCATGTCGCTCTTCATGCAGAAGCTATTCTGTTTGTCTCCCAGACACAACTCAGACATCGTGGGTGAAGAAAATCAATCTCGTCAACGCCGAGAAGGAAGAAGGAGAAAAGAAAGCTGCAAGAGGCTTTGATTATTCTCCCAGACTTAAGTCAGCTCTGCGAATGGTTTTAGAAAAGCCACTTTGTTTTCTCCTGCTCATCATTTGCATCACATTTTCCTGCACTCGCAGCTTGCTTAGAGGACAAATTAACAGATATGCCAGTCCCTTTAGATGTATGGAGAATCTTGGCATTTTTGATGAATAGATGTTTTTTCAGCTGCAGCACAATTCAGCCAAAAAAAAAAAAAGACAATTAATTGAAGTAAAAGCTGGAGAGGGAGAGCCTCAGTGAGTCAGAGCTGTGTGGGACAGATAGCCGCTGTAAACAGCTTCTTTAGAGCAGCGGAGGAAAACCTCACAGCCAAATTAACAGAGCAGGCAGATAACACAGGATTTAGATAAGTGGGTCCCAGCAACACACACACACACACACACACACACACACACACACACACACACACACACACACACACACACACACACACACACACACACACACTATTCAGTTTGTCAGAACAAGGCACAGATCAGAAAACTTTAATCAGACGCCTCCACACGCCGTCTGCACCAGTAGCATGCATTTACAAAATACTTCAAAAATAAACTCTTGTGCAACAAAATACTTATAAGAAATGTGTAAAATAAGCTGGAGTGTGATCACACTAAAGCAACACCATCCTCTAGATGGTGCTGATCTCTCCAAGTTCAAACGCATCCCAGACGCCATGGGAAGATTCAGATTTAAAGGCAAAACGAGAACAAAGGTCCTTTCTAAACATTTATTTAACACAAAGCAGATCTCCAGTCGTAGCCGTGGCGACGCATCAGACGAGTCTAACCCACAGTTAAACTTACTGGTGATTAACTACGTGATGCCAGCATGTTACAATGGTCCGACGTGTCAGCAGAACCGTTTCATCTGGACCAGCACTCTGGTGACTTTATCACCCGAACTTCAAAACTACACCTCCGATAAAAACAATACACACCATTTGTTCAACTAACTGTATAAAAGGGAACAAAAAAACGCTCCTATAAGCACGGAAGTGCACATCAAACAAGAGGCTTTTTGAGCTTTTTTGCCATCTTATGTTTCTTTTTCAGAAAGCTGAAGTGTTTGAATCTTATCAGAACTGGATTAGCCAATGTAAGAGTTAAGTAACACTTGAGGATGCCGTTTAACAATAAAGGGAACATTTAGGGCTTCTCTGTGTCTGACGAGGTTCCGAGTGGAAGATGCAGACAGGAGCAGGTGGATCAGGTAGTAAAAACATGGTGAAAAGGGACGTTAGTGGTTCTGGCTGGAGCGTGGTTCGGTGCTCGACTCTGCTGTGGCCTCAGCATCATGATGCATCTTGCTGAGGTGTATGACCAGGCTCTCCAGCTGAGGGTTCCCTCCGAACTCCTTGATGAGCCGGTAAGCCTCTATCTCCAGGTCCCGCAGGGTCTGACGGGTATAGGCGAACGAGCCCACCTTCTCCAGGTAATCCACGCAGTACCGTTTGATGTCCATGTTCTCCGTGCGCTGTCTCAGAATGTTCTGCACCTGGGTGCTGTCTGGACAAGACCATATGGCGTGGATTGTGGGGAAAGAGAACTTGCCCTCAGTCAGGTCTTCGCAGAAGCTCTTGTTCTCGCTGTACTCGCGGGAGCTCAGGTTGGCGTAGTCGTCGCGGATCTGGAAAAAGAGGCCAAGTGTGTTCAGGAGGGGTTTGAGGTCTTGTTTCCAGTCTGAAAAGAGCTGCATCAGACCCACAGCCAGGCCAAAGAGCCCGCCAGTCTTCTGCAGCACCATGTGGCGGTACTCCTCCTCAGTTGGACAGGTGTAGGTGTCCCTCCAACGGATGTCCAGACCCTGTCCTCGGTGAAGCTCCAGCAGCTGACGGGTGAAAACATGCACGGCCTCCGGGTGCTCCAAGGTCAGCACCTTCTCTAACCCTAGAAAGTAAACGTAGTTGGCTGAGTTGATGACTGAGGGGATGCCGTAGATGCTGTGGGCCACAGGGAAGCCCCGCCGCAGCTTGGAGTTGTCCTCGATGTCGTCTATCAGTAAACTGGCGTTGTGCAGCATCTCCGTCACCTCAATGATCACCTGAACAAAAACACAAACATTTCATACTTTTTACAGAAATATTTACATTTATTGTGGCTAAAAGTTTGTTCTTTTTATGTGAATTTTGCACTACAGCTTGTGTACAGCAGAGGGCGCCATGGTTACATCTACGTCTTCACTGCTTTCATAAAAGGACATGAAATGAAATGATCAAGAGCTCAACTAAAGATTTACTTCAAAAAGCAAATCCAGAAAATAACGGAGCTTCTCAGGTCAGTTTAGAGCTTGTTTCTAAAACCGCACCGTGTCTGGTAACTAATCTGAAATTCGAAAGCACTCCATCAGTCAATTAAACAGCTTTGTTATGTTTACGTTTGACAGAACAGCCCGCGTTCCCATCAGGCGCCGGCTGTGCTGATTTAAGACACGAGTGGTGTGGCCTGGTAATGAAAGCTGCTTGTGTGAAGCCCCGAGAGCACAAAGACGGACTCAGTGGGTCGAGCAGAAGGCCAAGGCCGAGACAGTCGAGAGGTTTATTAGTCAAACACAACCTTTCCTTACGTAGGGTCCTGATACAGGACACGAGCTGTGGCTAAAGCCACACATGAGGAATCTTCTAACAACACAGATAGATCTGGAGGTCCAAATAGGGAAGACACGTGCTCAAAGTGTGCTCGGAAATCAATCCAGATGGAAGAATAGATACTAGACTCCAAATTATAGATCACGTGAGGGCCATATTGAAATTAATGGAGGAGTATTTGCAATTCTCCGTCAGTGTGTTCTACCCAGCCTTTCCACCTTGGAGACATGTTTTACCCGTAAGGTCAGCAAAACATCCCTTCCCACAGGGGGCGTTTCAGACCCGAATCAGCAGCGAATGCCTTCCATGCAGCCTTCCATGCAGGTTACGGAATCACCGGAAAATTGCAAGACCATAAGTGATTTCAGTAGTTCACGCGGTAACAAGCAAAAAGAAAGATGGCAGCATGCATCAGAAAGGTCTGGCTTATTTTCTGTTGCATTTACTTTGGCTACGGAGGTTTTACAGGTAAGAATGTTTTTTTTTATAAATTAGTTGAGCAACTGGAAATCTACACGTCTTATTTTGAAAGCTTTTGGATATTTTACACTTTGTGTCTGGCCCGATCTGAACCGCTGAGCTTGAAGAGTAGGACATCACTTGAAGCGTCTGGGATGCGTCCAAAATAGGGCTTCACAATATATCGTTATCGCGATATTAGCATACACAATATGCATATCGCAAAGAACAGATGAATAACACAATGAATGGTCAGCTCAAATGTTTGCTACACATATCGCATTCTGACAATCAAATGGAAGCATGTTTTGTTAACAAATCAAATAGAGCTCTTTACCCATTTGGCCAATCAGGTGGGTTATTATAGGTTAGATGCCCGCCCCCAAGGCGGACAGCACTTCATTTTGATAGTTAGCAATAGGGCTGCACAATATATCAAAAAATTATCGTCATCGCGATAACAGGACGTGCGATAGGCCCATCGCAAAGCACGTCAAAAACAGCGATAAATGTTTGGTGGTTCAACATTTCCATCCGTGTCATACATCAACTTTTTGTAAACCAGCTCTGTTTTTTACGCAAAAGTATTTGACCAATCTGATATGTGGCCAATCAAATGGGTCCGTTCACGTAATACGCCCGCCCCCTACGTAGACCCTTACCCCAAAATTCCACTATCTCAGCTCTGCTCCACCCCCGCTTTCCGCTGCCGCTCGCTTCCCTTGTTCGTCATGCTGGCTCAGATTAATGAACGCACTTTGTGCTGAGGTTTCTGGAATCAGCGCTGCTTTCAAACGTGAACGTGAGTCCGCTCGGTGTCGTTAAGCAGCTGATAATAACCGGGCTGACTCCGACACGTGCCGGTGAACCAACCCACCGTTAGCCCCAGGCTCCGGTTAGCTTCCAGCTAAAAGGCTACAGCACTCTCCTCCCAGTCCCACCCACCCTGCTAAAGAGGGCCTGGAAAAGTTCCCCCACACATCAAAGTGATTTTTCATTTATGAGCTTTTATAACCTTGTTAAACAGGATAGTTGATTTGCTGCTGCACATAAACTGTCAGTCAGAAGCTCTGCTAGCCGCTTATCTTAGAGGAGCTAGTTCAATTAGTTAGCTTGTTATCAGAATCATAGTTGCAGTTTCATCATCTGAGCTGCTTTTTAAGATCTAGGTGAACTTGTTCCATTTGGGGTTAAAAACAAACGTTTTCACATATTTTCCATGTAGGTTTTTTTTTGCCAGTTCCTCTTCTGAAAGGTAGACAATTGTATTTCTCTTTCCCTCAGAAAATCTTAATATTCTCCTAGTTTGGCCCAGCACAGTTCACTTCCCAGTTACAGCAACAGCCTTATATCATAACCACATAAGTGGAGAAAATGCTCAGTAGCAATGAGATAATTAGCTGTCGCATTTAAGTGATGTTAACTATTATTTAACGTTTAAACTTATTTTCTGATTTTATTTATTCTAAAAACCCTGGTAAGGGATGTTTTTCTGTATTTGGAGCATCAGAAAAAGTTTATGGTGGAGGTGATGTTTTAAAGTCACTGAGAAACTGCATGCATGCAGTTTGTTGTTTTGCTGCTAATACAGTAGCAGGTGTAGCTGCTAATACAGTAGCAGGTGCAGCTGCTAATACAGTAGCAGGTGCAGCTGCTAATACAGTAGCGGGTGCAGCTGCTAATACAGTAGCGGGTGCAGCTGCTAATACAGTAGCGGGTGCAGCTGCTAATACAGTAGCGGGTGCAGCTGCTAATACAGTAGCAGGTGCAGCTGCTAATACAGTAGCGGGTGCAGCTGCTAATACAGTAGCGGGTGCAGCTGCTAATACAGTAGCGGGTGCAGCTGCTAATACAGTAGCGGGTGCAGCTGCTAATACAGTAGCGGGTGCAGCTGCTAATACAGTAGCGGGTGCAGCTGCTAATACAGTAGCGGGTGCAGCTGCTAATACAGCAGCGGGTGCAGCTGCTAATACAGTAGCGGGTGCAGCTGCTAATACAGTAGCGGGTGCAGCTGCTAATACAGTAGCGGGTGCAGCTGCTAATACAGTAGCGGGTGCAGCTGCTAATACAGTAGCGGGTGCAGCTGCTAATACAGTAGCGGGTGCAGCTGCTAATACAGTAGCGGGTGCAGCTGCTAATACAGTAGCGGGTGCAGCTGCTAATACAGTAGAGGGTGCAGCTGCTAATACAGTAGAGGGTGCAGCTGCTAATACAGTAGCGGGTGCAGCTGCTAATACAGTAGCGGGTGCAGCTGCTAATACAGTAGCGGGTGCAGCTGTTAATACAGTAGCGGGTGCAGCTGCTAATACAGTAGCGGGTGCAGCTGCTAATACAGTAGCGGGTGCAGCTGTTAATACAGTAGCGGGTGCAGCTGCTAATACAGTAGCGGGTGCAGCTGCTAATACAGTAGAGGGTGCAGCTGCTAATACAGTAGAGGGTGCAGCTGCTAATACAGTAGCGGGTGCAGCTGCTAATACAGTAGCGGGTGCAGCTGCTAATACAGTAGAGGGTGCAGCTGCTAATACAGTAGAGGGTGCAGCTGCTAATACAGTAGCGGGTGCAGCTGCTAATACAGTAGCAGGAGCAGCTGCTAATACAGTAGAGGGTGCAGCTGCTAATACAGTAGCGGGTGCAGCTGCTAATACAGTAGAGGGTGCAGCTGCTAATACAGTAGCGGGTAAAGCTGCTAATACAGTAGAGGGTGCAGCTGCTAATACAGTAGAGGGTGCAGCTGCTAATACAGTAGCGGGTAAAGCTGCTAATACAGTAGAGGGTGCAGCTGCTAATACAGTAGCAGGTGCAGCTGCTAATACAGTAGCGGGTGCAGCTGCTAATACAGTAGAGGGTGCAGCTACTAATACAGTAGCAGGTGCAGCTGCTAATACAGTAGAGGGTGCAGCTACTAATACAGTAGCAGGTGCAGCTGCTAATACAGTAGCGGGTACAGCTGCTAATACAGTAGCGGGTGCAGCTGCTAATACAGTAGCAGGTGCAGCTGCTAATACAGTAGCGGGTGCAGCTGCTAATACAGTAGCGGGTGCAGCTGCTAATACAGTAGCGGGTGCAGCTGCTAATACAGTAGCGGGTGCAGCTACTAATACAGTAGCAGGTGCAGCTGCTAATACAGTAGCGGGTGCAGCTGCTAATACAGTAGCGGGTGCAGCTGCTAATACAGTAGCGGGTGCAGCTGCTAATACAGTAGTGGGTGCAGCTGCTAATACAGTAGTGGGTGCAGCTGCTAATACAGTAGCTGCTAATACGGTAGCGGGTGCAGCTGCTAATACAGTAGCGGGTGCAGCTGCTAATACAGTAGAGGGTGCAGCTACTAATACAGTAGCAGGTGCAGCTGCTAATACAGTAGCAGGTGCAGCTGCTAATACAGTAGCGGGTGCAGCTGCTAATACAGTAGCGGGTGCAGCTGCTAATACAGTAGCAGGTGCAGCTGCTAATACAGTAGCGGGTGCAGCTGCTAATACAGTAGTGGGTGCAGCTGCTAATACAGTAGCTGCTAATACGGTAGCGGGTGCAGCTGCTAATACAGTAGCGGGTGCAGCTGCTAATACAGTAGAGGGTGCAGCTACTAATACAGTAGCAGGTGCAGCTGCTAATACAGTAGCGGGTGCAGCTGCTAATACAGTAGCGGGTGCAGCTGCTAATACAGTAGCGGGTGCAGCTGCTAATACAGTAGCAGGTGCAGCTGCTAATACAGTAGTGGGTGCAGCTGCTAATACAGTAGCTGCTAATACGGTAGCGGGTGCAGCTGCTAATACAGTAGCAGGTGCAGCTGCAAATACAGTAGCAGGTGCAGCTGCAAATACAGTAGCGGGTGCAGCTGCTAATACAGTAGCGGGTGCAGCTGCTAATACAGTAGCAGGTGCAGCTGCTAATACAGTAGCGGGTGCAGCTGCTAATACAGTAGCGGGTGCAGCTGCTAATACAGCAGCGGGTGCATCTGCTAATACAGTAGCAGGTGCAGCTGCTAATACAGTAGCGGGTG